TTTATTATTATTATTATTATTATTATTATTATTATTATTATTATTATTATTATTATTATTATTATTATTATTATTATTATTATTATTATTATTATTATTATTATTATTATTATTATTATTATAAATAAATCAGTAAATGTCACACCAAAAGTACCGTTCGATTAACAAATTAGACAATTTTTTAAATATGTGTGGGAATTCCCGCCGAAAGGTCGTCAATATGCAGCCGATATGAAGGTGACTAGTGTCAAAGACAAAGCAATGAGGTATTTGTACAAATCAAACCTAATCACACGATGCTATCTTTGTTTCAATTGCGTTTTAATGTCTAGAATGTAGCTATAATTACCATAACAAATAATGTTATAATGTTTCTAACATGCCAAGCACCGAATACAATAAATAAACAAACTATAAATAAACTATAAAATATCAATACAACATTGGGAACGTGGGAACGACTTGTACACATGATGTATATAAAAAACATTTGATATAATTTAATAAGTGTTGATATGTTTTACTGTGTATTTTACAAACAAGCGCCTACCCATGATTCTTTGCGTTTTAGCATGCGCTCTCATCGTCGTCTTTCCGCTTTGAATCATTATTCAGATTATTTCATCTAATTGATACTTATTATAATATGACTCAAATATATCTCATGTGCGAACTTGATCATAGTTTTGAGCATGCTCGCCATTTTGACGTGTGAAAATAATATTACCAAGAGTAACTCGTTCTTGCCATAAGTGAGTAAATAAGACCGAATACATGACAGAGTTTTGACAAGTATTTCTTGGTATCGGTAGAAAATCGGAACCACAAAAACATAATGATAATTTATTTATATTCATGAAATCTCAGACAATTAATAAATGTATTAGTTGCCTGAGATGAAATCAAGCAGTCTAGTTGATTATCGTTACAATTTATTGTTATGGGAAAATACAGCGTACATACCTATGCGTAGCTATTGATATGATGACGTCATTGCATGCATACTTTGAATGAAACTTATTTCACATTTTGGTAGAAATAATTGTATGAACAGTGAGCAAAACTTGGTGAGTTGCAGTAAATTGCACAAGTCATTTCCTGAATATAGTAATCACAATTTGTACTGAATTGAGTATCGTTCAAATTGGTATTTGCAGTGTTAGGGAATCCCCGATCCGCATTACGTAACATCATGACGTCATTTATATGCGACCCCTAACTAGTTCAGTGTCAATAAGATGGCGACTGGCGTGAACGTGGGGGAAACTCGAGATTACATGCTTTGGTTCTAATAACTGAGTCTCAATTCAGGCTTTGGTAAGTACGTAATAATTACAGAACCCATCGACTGTAGTTGGGAGTCATAATTCAAAGGTAAATGTTGTATTTTAATCATTTATTTGCAATGGTTTCTTTGATAATGTGTGACTGTCATTCTTGTTCTGGTGTGAACAGCAAATGCCACTACACATGTCGATATAATATCAGATCACACCATTGCCACAAGACCACAGTAACGATGCAGTTTTAGTGAGTAACGATATAGAACGACCGGTCCATTTATCTGTAACAATGTAACAATGCTTACAGCCATACGCACTAGCATGTGTGATTACCGGGACCTGTGCATCCAAAACGTTTGTGCCGCCACAAAACGAGCATACACAGTTACTATGACTGATCGGTATATAAATAATAAAATATGATAAAATATTTTAATAACAAAATTATCTTATATTTGAAATGCTTGAATTGCACTGGGTTGTTTACTGGTCCCCACATTACCTAATTTTACGTGAACGTACCATAAATTTAAAATCATTCCCACCTAGATTCATGTGCATGCTGATTTTCTGTCCAATCTACACAAAACGAAAGTAGATGTTCTCGAGCATTCTTGAAAAATAAACGTCCATATAGCTATCCCAATAAATGTTTTATGAAGTTATTATGAATTGTGCTTTGTTTTGGCATTATAATAGATGTTGGTGGCGTTTATAAGTTCATACCCCTGTAGCCTTGTGCCTGTGCTGCAAAACAATTTGAATTGTTTTGATATGATTGCCATGGAAACGTGATCATGTGGCTTAAGCATGTACAGTGAAATGTACATTTTTCTAATCCTACAATTTTTATATTTCAAGTGTTTTTTTTATTTCAGACTTGAGACAATGGTAATTGTAGGTATAAGCAGTTTTGCATATAATAGCAGCAGAAAATCTAAATCGTGGATTCGTCTTGCTCTCCTAGTGACTGTTGTCCATTTAGTGTTATTAGTGTTCATTGCACAAACTAGTTCCAACAAGACACTATTAGTATTGGGTAATTATTATGAATGGTTTAATATTGGCGACAACAGCTCACAGTCATTTGGATCGTTTGGGACTGAAAACATGCAAACACCTAGCCGTACCAGTTACAACAGTTCAACAAGAAGTGTGTCATCAAGAACCGAATGTTACAACAGAGTATTATACAACTCATCGGAAATGGTGTGTACACTTCGAACAGCGGCTTTAAAAATATTAGATAGACAGACTAGTCCCTTTAATAAATTAGGCCTGTCAAGATACTTGCCTAATGGAAGTGCGTTTTTAGAAATGAAAACATACAAGTGGTGTGCAGTAATCGGCAGTTCCTACTTCTTGCTGGGATCTAAGTTAGGAAAGGAAATAGGTCAGTATCTTATTTTTTGTCCTATTCAATTCAAATTGTTAATTGATGACCGTACACCTTACAGTTGAGTCAACGCATATATACAAGACAGACCTTGAAAATAACACGTAAACAAACAAACTGTTTTCTAATAGGTCTGACTGTTAGGTGTTTGGTAGCCAATCAGACCCAATCGTCGAGACAGTTTAGTTATTTCTCGATCAATGAGTCACAGTCTGTATTCCAAGCATCATCCTTTCAATGGCTTCTAGGTCTAGTTATTCTTAGATACGACCAAATGTAACGAAAAAAATATACCAAAACAAACATTTATTTCACAGTATAATTTATGAGAACGCGCATTCACTGTTGTTGTTGTTGTTGTTGTTGTTGTTGTTGTTGTGTGTTGTTGTACGTCTTTATCTGTGTATGCAAATACAATTTTAATATAGAGTGATAATACCGTGTTTTTCTAAAATTTCGGTCAAACATTCCGTGCATGTAAGCAGTAACATTTACCATCTAGAGGAGGCATACACAAATCATAGATGGCATAACAATGTTTGTACTGACCTCACTGACCTTTCCAGTCCTCATACTGAGGACATTTCGTTTTACTCACACTGGCCACCCATTATGTATCGAATACAATATCAACCTACGTTATCAACTTCATCAATTTTAAGCCTCCGGAAAATTGTTTTAATTTACCAAACCCATTTTGAGTTTAGTACCATCCTGATAAAATTTATTTTCTTTTGTTTTTTATTTACTTACAGTGATTCATGTCATGTATCAGAATGACAGTTTTAAAGTCAATTAGAATAAAATACGTTGACAGATAATAACTAAATGTCGGACAGTATTCATCGTGTCACATAAACACTGAGTGACAGCTCCTAACAATATAAAACTGTCTCATATAACAGCTGAGAGTCCTGAGAAATGGAAAATTTCGATCGAAGTAATGTATGTAAATCATAGTAATGAGTTCCTATTAATATGTGAAATCAAATCAAATTGACAGATCATGAGATGTGTGAACTATAGGTTATGTGTTATGTTTTTGATCGTCACTAGTTGTCTGCACATTAGGGTAAAAATAAAATATCCAAATACATATCACTGTTCTGAAATGTGTCGAATTCAAAATGTCAAAATAGTTTGACATAATTCAGACTTTCTTTGCTAGTATTATGCAACCAAAACGGTGGACCACATTTGACAAACGTCTTGGTAACTATCGCAAGCTAACTAGCAAGCCAATGAGTGTAACCTAGTACGTCACATCATCATCGCTATAAACAAGTCTGGGTGAGAAATATGAACATACTTTATAAAAGCTAAACAAAAACATAGAAATCAAACTATCAAAAGGCCAATAGATGAAAATGGTGACTTACTATGTTTTTAGAATGACCTTAGTGTTTGGTTCAAGTTGCAAACAGTTTTTAAAGTACAAGAACTGATCACACGTTTCCTTTTCCAGATTCACATGATGCAGTTCTGCGTTTCAATGATGCTTTAGTCACGGGATTTGAAAGAGATGTAGGCAGCAAAACAACAATACGTTTAATCAATAGCCAAATGCTTGTGAAGAAAAAAAAGAATGCATCGTTATTAAAAGCATTGAATGTGAACAGCACATTATTTGTATGGAAAGCCGGTGGTCGTGACGAAAATCTAATGAAGGTACGTAGGTATACCCATTTCTATAGCATGAGTGAAATGTAGTATTGCCAACCATAAACCCGCTACCGACATATCTTAAGAAATGGAACAAGACATTGATTATTAGGGTCGACCCCTCTACATGAGACGTCTAGAAGATGTAATATAAAGCATTGTATCTTTTATTTCATTTTCTGTCACAACACTCATTTGATACACAATCATTTAAATTGATCCAATCAGACTTACCATTGTGCATTACTGATATCAGACTATTAGAATTAATTGTTCTAGGCTAGCCGCGTCATCTAATGTGCAATGTTTATAGTGATGTGTTGTCATAATGAGTTGTGTATTGGCATTATATGATGAAATTCAAGATCATCAGTATGTATTGTTCAGTTATTCTGGGATAGTGCTTCTTCTAATACTTTGTCCTTTCCACGGATGATGTGATGGTGACTCTGTCATGAATTAGTTTTTGCGTATTTGTTGACCGACTTGTTTAGCTGATTACTAGTGAATGGCTGTGTTATATCTGTCATCATTTAGACTCATGCGAGGTCCTGGACGGTACTTGACTCAGTGATTTGGAACTAATTATGATATAACCGTTGCCATCCGGACCGCTATTTCTGACAGTTGGGTACTCGCAGTTAGTAATATAGTGAACGATTAATCAAAAGATATGACGTGTCCAGTACTTAGTTTGATTGGCTATGTGCAAGTTGAATGTGTGAAAGGTACGCCCTATGTCTTTTAACTGCTTTGTAATTGATTAAGTTTTGATAGGTAATAAACAGTCTAAGTCCTTGGTCAGAGAGAGAGAGAGAGAGCTCCACGGGGCGAGGGAGTCTTGGTCAGTCCGGGTAGAAACCCCGACGAGGCAGTTCGCCTTGAGGCGTTCTCCATGTGGCTAAAGACAAGCTATTGAAACGTATTTCGTTGTGTGCGTCTATTTGACTGTAAAGCTTAAGTGACTTTCCCGGTCCGGTACCTCAAGCAGACGTGATATAGAGACAGACGTGTATTTCTCTGACACGTGTTGGAGAAACCCAGACCAGAAGAATTTTCCCCGTGATAACTCTGTCATGAATTTGTTTTCGTGTATCTGTTGGTCGACTTAATTAACTGATTATTAGCGAATTGCTGTGTTATGTCTGTCATCGTTCAGGCCTATTTGAAGTTTTGGACGGAACTTGGCTCAGTGATTTGGAACTAATTACAAATAACCACCACTATTTAGACTACTCATTCTGACAGTTTATATCCATAGTTATTAATGTAGTGAACTATTAATCAAAAGATATGACGTATTCAGTACTTAGTATGATTGGCTTTATGATTGAAGGTTACGCCCTAGAGTCTTTTTACTGCTTTGTAATTGGTTAGAGTTTTGAAAATGAATAAAGAGAGTTTGAGTTGGTCTTGGCGAATACTCCACGATAGACGCAGTAGAGAGAGAGTGCAGTCCTGGGCAGTCGAGAGTTCAGTCCAGGGGCGAGCCTTGAGGCAGTCCAGTCTTGGGCGAATCTTGGTTCAGCCTTGTGAGAGTCTTGGGGACTTTTCCCCAGGGCGCTGTGTCTTATAGAGTGCTCCAAAAGATCGACTAAGACGAGAGCTGAAACGTATTTCGTTGTGTGTGTCTTATTTGACTGTAAAGTTAAAGTGACTTTCCCGATCCCGTACCTCAAGGGGACGAGATAGAGAGACGAGACGAGTTTCCTCCCTGACAGTGTGGAGAACCCCGAGAGAGAAGATTTACCCCCTGATAACTCACCAAGGACACTCAACTTCAATTTCACACTTTATTTTGTTTCTTCAGTGGTATACTGTTTCAAAAGATATGTTCAATAATTATATTAAGTGGTGTATCCATCGACCAGAGCAGTGTCCTTACGTAATCAACCCATCAGTGCTATGGAAATGCTGGGACATTATTCAACGTTACACCAAGGAACGTATGAAGAATATTGTGCCTACAACAGGATTTACAGGTGAGATCCAGAAAAAAATGTGTTCACGTTTCTTTGAGAAAGCGCAATTTTATAACAAGTGTGATGCGCACAACAGTTTATGAAAACGAAATGACTATAGACGTCTTTGTTAGACCATGGACGTATAAACAAAAGGAGTCACAAATGGTTTAAGTTCAAACATGGAGCTAAAATAATTATTTTAGCTCCATGGTTCAAAGGTTCCATGGTCATTTCCCCCGTTTACTCGGTGATTATAATGTTTGCTTGTTAATTTAGCAGTAAACAGCAAGTTATCGTGGGACGGGGGATTTTCATGCACGCAATGACATTTTCGCGTGAAAGAAAATTGCGTCTAATCGATGTGAAGATTTTTTTGAAAAAAACTACACAACAACAACATCGCGCCTGAATTTACCATGGCGCTAGAAAGATCCCTTTTTGACCACACCACTGCAAAGATCGTAAGGTAGGCCAATTTGGTGCAACCCTGCCAAAACAGCCGTTGAAATGACCGATACAAATTCCACGAAAAAACGGAAAAACAACATAACTTAATTTGATTCGATAATCATATAGATGTATTGTTCATTGTGGTATATAATGGTATAATGGCGTCGACGTGTTATTGTTACGTCACTGAGTCGTTTCGATGCTAGATGACGCGAATTTTGAAATGGTGTATCTGCATCGATTGCATTATGCTATGTGTATATAAAAATAAACATGATTGGATTTTTTGCAATTACTCTAATGAATTATCAAAACATGCATGATTATTACTATTTCCTTGTCTTGCATCACTATTGGTCATGTGACCTGTTACACTGGCTTTGTGTTTATTTATGTAAATTCACGCTTAGTCGTTTGTCTCTTCGTTAGATAGTAATCGCCACAGGATGCTGACCACAAATGTGGTTTGTTTTAAATAGCACAACTACTATAAAATACTTCATTTTCGCTTGGAATTAATTTTCGCTAAAGGGATGATTCAGTGAAAATAAAATCCAGTGAATATTCCTTTTTCCTATATTTTACATTCAACTCGTCAAAAATCGTCGAAAATAAATTCCATGTACAAAACACCCAACAAGTCTTTTCAGCGAAAATTAATTCCAGCTAAAATAAAGTATTTTACAGTACTCGTGCGATTAACTACAAAAGTTGTATTTTACAGGAATCCATCTGATGCATCACATATGCGAGTCAATTGATGTGTATGGCTACGTCACACCTACAAACACGAACTGCCACTATTATGACGTACATAAATGTCCTCGGTTGGCATGGCACCCCGTAGAAGCAGAAAAGAATTTCCTAAAGACACTTCATGTGGGAAATGAAAACGATTTATCTGTCAAGGGTAAACTATCCTTGTACGGATTTCATCATGACTGTGTAACATGTTAAAAAGACGAACATGACCTATGATGTAATAAAATAATTTTGACCTATGACGTAATGAAATAATGTTTGTTCTATGACGTAATGAAATAATGTTTGACCTATAACATAATGAAATAATGTTTGACCTATGACGTAATGAAATAATGTCTGACCTATGACGTAATGAAATAATGTTTGACCTATGATGTAATGAAATAATGTTTGACCTATGACGTAATGAAATAATGTTTGACTTATGACGTAATGAAATTATGTTTTATCTATAACGTTTGTCTTATGACACAATCGAATATCACTTGACCTATGACACAATGGAACAATCCGGTGCACTTTGACTCACAAAAATCGAAGATTCGAAATTATTTTGAATAATAGGACGATGTAGGACGTGTGCTGACTGCCATTCGCAAATAACTAAACATTTTTTCAATATTGAATCGTAGTTTTTCGTGTAGTGTTGCCACTAACTAGTACATACATATACGTATATGTAATATTGGTGAATACTGATGTTAAAATACTGTTATATGTTATCAAATAAATGTACCAGAATGCAAATCACTACAATATTAAACCTGGAATGCGTGCGGTGTTTAAAAATCTCCAGTGAATCAGTAGTGCCCATATCTTGACGTTGAGATGAATTAACAGCTTTGCTGTGGCAATAATGTAAATAAACAGGTTATATGCTAATATAGCAACAAAGGAACGTGACTTGGAAGGTGGTACCATAACATGGACGAATGACTATCCTGGAAAAATAAGGCGATTAGCAATGGTTCGGATGTGGGTCAGCATTGGAACATTCATAAAATATGTAACACTAGGAATCGTCATTGTCGCAAACAGGACATTTATCATGCTATGTGAATCTTGCACTGAAGATATACATGCCAGTAGTATACCGGTAGGTATTGAAGACCTCCTTCTAATTAGCATAATGGTGCGAAGTAACATCTTTTGAAATTTGGCTTAAACTCCGTTGAGTGGAAACCCCGGAAAACACTAAACCAGTTGAAAAACACTAAACCTATTGAAAAAGACTAAACCTGTTGAAAAAGACTAAACCTGTTGAAAAAACACTAAACCCTTCGTAAAGGGCGAATTATGGATATACCATGATCGTTCAGTTGAGTATTTATGAAAAGAAAGCTAAAGAAAAATCCCTTTATGATCGAGGCCAGGGCCGCAGC